CATTCCTTATATCTCATAACTTCTTTTCTCTACTTGAGAAACTCTGATATAATGATGAATAAAATGTCAGGTTTAACAGCCATAGTAGGTAAATATGGCACAGTTTATTTAATCAGTATTTGATTGAAGGACATTAAATCGTTTCTCTTTTTCATAAATAATGCTGCAAGGAGCATCTTTTTACAAACATTTTTGTGCAGTTCTCTTGTTCATTCTTATAATGTATTCCAGGATATCTTGGAATAATCCAGTTAAAAATTAAATACATATAAAGTTAAAAGCTATTTATTTACTTATTTTTAAATTTTTTATTGAGGAATCATTTATATACATTCTTATGAAGGTTTCACATGAGCAACATTGTGGTTACTACATTCACACCTATTATCAAGTCCACCCCACATACCCCATTACTGTCACTGTCCATCAATGTAGTGAGATGCTAGAGTCACTACTTGTCTTCTCTGTGCTATACTGCCCTCCTCATGATCCCCCTACATTGTGTGTGCTAATCATAACCCCTTAATCTCATTATCCCTCTCTTCCTGCCAGCTCTCCCCACCCTCTTTCCCTTTGGTAACCGCTAGTCCCTTCTTGGGGTCTGTGAGTCTGCTGCTGTTTTGTTCCTTCAGTGTTTGCTTTATTGTTATACTCCACAGATGAGGGAAATCATTTGGTACTTGTCTTTCTCCGCCTTGCTTATTTCACTGAGCATAATACCCTCTAACTCCATCCATGTTGCAAATGGTAACATTTGTTTTCTTCTTATGGATGAATAATATTCCATTGTACATACATACCACATCTTCTTTATCCATTCATCAACTGATGGTCACTTAGGTTGCTTCCATGTCTTGGCTCTGTAAATAGTGCTGTGATAAACATAGGGGTGCATATATCTTTTTGAGTCTGGGATCTTACTATCTTTGGGTAAATTCCTAGGAGTGGAATTCCTGGGTCAAATGGTATTTCTATTTTTAGTTTTTTGAAGGACCTGTGTGTTGCTTTCCACAATGGTTGAACTAATTTACATTCCCACCAACAGTGTGGGAGGGTTCCCCTTTCTATGCATCCTTGCAATAATTTGTTGTTCCTTGTCTTTTGGATGTTGGCCGTCCTAACTGATGTGAAGTGATATATCATTGTGGTTTTAATTTGCATTTCCCTGATGATTAGCGATGTGGAGGATCTTTTCATGTGCCTGTTGGCCATCTGAATTTATTCTTTGGAAAAGTGTCTGTTCATATCCTCTGCCATATTTTAATTGTATTATTTCCTTTGGGGTGTTGAGGCATGTGAGTTTTTTATATATTTTGGATTGGATGTTAACCCCTTATCATATATGTCATTTATGAATGTATTCTCCCATACTGTAGGATGCCTTTTTGTTCTGCTAATGGTGTCCTTTGCTGTACAGAAGCTTTTTAGTTTGATGTAGTCTAATTTGTTCATTTTTGCTTTTTTTCCCTTTCCCAAGGAGATATGTTCAGGAAAAAGTTGCTCATTTTTATATTCAAGATATTTTTGCCTGTGTTTTCTTCTAAGAGTTTTATAGTTTCATGACTTACTTCAGGTCTTCAGTCCATTTCAAGTTTACCATTGTGTATGGATTTAGATAGTAATTCAATTTCATTTTCTTGCATGTAGCTGTCCAGTTTTGCCAACACCAGTTGTTGAAGAAGCTGTCATTGCCCCATTGTATATCCATAGCTCCTTTATCATATACTAATTGGCCATATATGTGTGGGTTTATATCTTGACTCTGTATAATATTCCATCAATATATGGGTCTGTTTTTGTGCCAGTACCAAATTGTCTTGATTACTGTGGCTTTGTAGTAGAGTTTGAAGTCCAGGAGTGTTGTACATGGCCTTTATGATGTTGAGGTACTTGCCCTGTAAACACATTTTACTGAGGGTTTTTATCATGAATGGATGTTGTATTTTGTCAAATGATTTTTCAGCATCTATAGAGATGATTATGTGATTTTTGTCTTTCTTTTTGTTGATGTGGTGGATGATGTTGATGGATTTTCTAATATTATACTTTCCTTGCACCCCTGGAATAAATCCCACTTGATCAGGATGGATGACCTTTTTGATGTATTTTTGAATTCAGTTTTCTAATATTTTGTTGAGTACTTTTGCATCTATGTTCATCAGGGATATTGGTCTGTAACTTTCTCTTTTTGTGGTGTCTTCACCTGGTTTTTGGTATTAGAGTGATGCTGGCTTCATAGAATGAGTTTGGAAGTATTCCCTCCTCTTCTACTTTTGGAAAACTTTAAGGCGAATGGGTATTAGGTTCTCTAAATGTCTGATAAAATTCAGTGGTGAAGCCATCTGGTCCAGCGGTTTGGGTCATCCATTTAAATCTGAAGTTCACTTAGATAATGAATAACTTTTTGGAGTAGGTATATCCCACATATTGCATGGAACATACTTATACTAAAATTTTTTTCTTGTTTATCTGAATTGAAATTTAAATTGATGCCCTGTTTTGGGTTTTCATTTGCTTGTTTTTTGCTGAATCTGGCAACCCTAGGTCGTAGTCATTTCAGAGCTCAGCAGTACATGGGCCAGAGGTTCCTTGGCCTGTGTTCGGTCTTCCATGCATCAGAGAGTCACTGGTCTGGGTTTTTACAATCAGGAGCAATGGGTGACTTGATGGTAAATGTAGTAAATAGATGTCTGATGACTGAGTCCCCCACCATCTGTCACTGTGTGAAGCTGGGAACCTAAGTCCAATATGGTATGGGAGATGTAGATCTTTCCAGAATGTCTGAGGCTGGACTGAGTTTCTGATTTAAAATTGAGAAGAAATATTAAAGTAAAAATTAGTTTGTCTCCTAGAATACTTAAAAGCTATATTCCATTTATGTCTGAGTTTGAAAACTGAGATTCTTACCTTGTGATGACACAAAAACAAACAACAAAGTTCATAGTTTCAAAATCTGGGTGATTAGCCGCTTGACTTTTGTCTCCCAGGTCTCAAGAAAAAGGCTTTGTTTGTGTAGGATAGGATCTGAACTAAGGATTCAAGATGGAGGCCCAGGGACACTGCCTGCTTCTGCATCTGAGTGTGTCCTCAAATGGTTCCTCTAGTTTTCCCAAGTTGGTTCTGAGTTACAGAGTAAATGTAAGAGAGGGAGATCTGCCCAGCTCAGGCCTGCAGTTCATGCACCCTGCTTACCCTGCTTAGTCAGCGGCATCCCTCCAGCCTGCCACCTCAGAACTGTGTGATAGCAGTGGGAGATATTAGTCAGTCTTGGTCATAAAGAATGTGGCCTTGATCAGCATCTTCAAACTCATCTCAGCTGAATGAGGCTCCCCAGGGAGCTATGTGGGAGGAGGGGGTAAAGTCATCTCTAAGTCATACATATTGTTTAAGAACTTTGGCTCCAGCCTGCATGTGGCTCTTCTGTTCTAGTGAGTTCAGCTGGACCATGACCTGATGCATGGACATCTTTTGTCCCCATACTTTAGAAGCCCAGCCTGAAGGTAACCAGGTGATTTTATTGGCCATTTTCCCTTTGGTTCACACCCTAAACTTTAATGCCTTACCATTTCCCAAAGCAAAAAAAAAAAAAAAATCAAAACCTTAGAAGTAAAATCCATCCATGAATAGAAAACTTCTGAGAGACAAGTCTGTGATATTAGAAATATCTGGAGTGGCTAGGCTGACCTGTCTACCAATGCCACACCTTCACCTGCCCTCCCCCCGCCCCCCATTTCCTCTTGACCTTTGATTAGAGGCTGTCTGAACTGATTTGTTTTGACCAGGTTGTTGGGGTGTGGTGAGGGGGTTCTTTCACTAAGAGGAGGATCCTGGGCCTATATTTTTACTTCAGCTGAGCAAATAACAAGCTTAAATAAGAAAAAAGAACCCAAGAAAAGAATTCAGGTGGATACACTGTGAAGAGACAGGTTTTTTTTTTTTAATCCTCTTCACTCACTCTTCATGTTTAAAAACATCTACCCTTAGCACTGTGGCTCAGTTCTGGCCTGGTCTTTGCCCCAAATCTGGGAGTGGAGTGGGTGGGTGGATGAAGAAAACTCCGCTTCCTTAATAGACATTGTAATACAAAGCTAGACAACAGGCAAAAGCAATTTCATCATAATTTGTATGAAGCTCTCTCCTGGTTTTTTGGAATTCACCAATTCAGAAGTCATCTGTCAGTGTAGAGATCTATTCCTAGGTATTTCTTTTTCTGAGAGTTTTCTTTCTCGTGACCACCAGGTCAATTTTAGAGGTGAAACTATTGACAAAGAACTGTTGCATGAAGCCTAAAATCTTCCTTTACGTAAAAGGTATCCTGTGATCTGGGCCTTCTCTCTTTAATTCCTACTTTACTTGGAATGAGTTAAGCAGTAAAAAGCTTAGTTTTAAGAAAACACGTGGACTTAATGTTACTATAATGTACTGAAAACATGGCTATTTTTCTAGCTTGCTTATATATCTAGTTGTCTTTCCACCATCTCTCACTAAACAGCAGCTTGCTTCCAATTTCTTGATGTTTAAAAAAAGCCTCCAGGCAGAGCTTCTCTGTGTTTATCTATTATCAGAGGAAGATATGACCTGACACCTTTGAATTCTAAATGAACATGAAATTAGCCTCTCTGAGGCTCTAAATGAACATGAAAATAGCCTCTCTAGCTATTTTCTTCCAAGAGGACTAATAGAGAGTACTCATGCTGTGGGAGGTGATCCTTCTTCCTTGAGTTCACACCTTAAATCCTTCTTAGTGAAAGAGGATGGGGGCAGGAGTCCAGCAGAATCTGCAGGAGACAAGCTCATAAATGTTATCTTTTCTCTTTCCCATCTCTTGTCTGAGGGAATCCCAGAAATAGCTCTTATTTTCAAATATGTGAATGACTTACTATTTATATCTAATCTTCAGGTGCCATAATTATCATAGTATTTACATTAAATATGTCAGATTAAATTTATGGTCTGATCTAATTTCAATATCACTGTTTTTTTGTTTTTTAAAAATCCAGGATGATTTCATCTGGAACCAGGCTGTTCTGTCATTGATCGAAACTGGCTTTCTGGAGCATTGTGCTGTGCCTCTGTGATCTTGCTGGGCACCCCATTCTGGAAGCTCAGTTCCCCTCCCAGTTGGCACACAGCTTCTCATTTCCTCAGCCTTCTGTTCATGATTGATGGATCAGATAGAGGATGATGTTGACTCCATCTGGAAAGTGAGTCAGCCAGTCTTTGAGGAGACCTACTGGAGGCCTAGAAACAGTGCTCTGAACACAGACTCCATTAGTTTAGAGACTGATAGGGAAGGGAAAATGGGACTGGCTTCTCAGTGGAATCAAACTTCAGCCTGAAGTGGACTGTCCTCAAAAATGAAGGCTCATTAGAGTGTGAATAACACCTGTTATTAACACAAATATCTAGTTGAAGGCAGTCACTGAAAACGCTTTCTGATCTCAGATACCTCCCCAAGAGGACTGAGTGCTGAAACTTTCCACAAGTAATTTGTTGGCCCATTGGGCTAAGTCAGTCACAAAAGCTGACTGTGCCACTGAGGAAGAGAAATACACTGGTGCCCTATTGGAACCTTTACACCGCTGTTTTGTCTGATGCGTCAGCCAACGAATTGCAAAGGGCGAGGGGGCTCAGGTAGCCCATGAGGATCATACATTTGGGGACAAGGCCACAGAAGCAATGAAAACAGTGATTTCTTCCCTTCCCTTCTGTAAGTCTGGGGACAGAAAGTCCCAGGGGCAAATACCTCTAAAAACCAAAATCAGTCAAAGGGAGAAATAAAGTTTAAAACCCGTTTTTTTGCTTACAAACTGCATTCCAGGGCCGTCTCTCCTCTACTCCTGAAGAGGCAAGCCAGCAAGTCAGCCACCCCCTCCCTTTTAACTCTCAGGTTCAGACACGCCCTTGGTTGCCCAGGTAATGACCCATTGACATGGAGATGAACTTCTCTCCACCCCTGAGGATATGCAAATGAACTAAAGCCAGGTGAGATACTCTGGAAATGCTACAGTTTTACCCATACCCTCTGTTCCCTTCCCTTCCCTTTCTTCTGCCTATTTAATAACCCCAGGACCAGATTTACTGTCATCCTTTGTTCAATCCACTTCCATTATTTGTCAATGCGTGATCTGATTTATGTATTTAATTATTATAAATAAGCACTTGTGAATCTACCACTGAGTACCCTATCCCATACTCATAACTCACTCTTCTCAAGTTGCCCAGCCAGCTCCCTGAAGCATGTGTTGAAATTTTCCTCGCTTTCATTTCATTATGTGTGAGTATTACCACAGTTTATTCATCTGTTCTCTTGTTGCTGGGCTTCTGCTGCTCAAACAGTGATGTTATTAATGCTCTTGTACAGATCACAGGGTATTACAAGTGTATATGTGGAGAATGGCAGTGCTGGATCATTGCATAGGTGAATGTTTGACATTACAGGACAACAGTAAATTATTTCCCAAAGCGATCATAGTGATTTCTATGAGCATAAGAGAGTCTGTGGATCCATATCTTCTCTGTCCTCTCCACATGCAGGACCAATAACCTGGCATTGTTGGACTTCCAAAATTTTTCCCAGTCATACATATTTAACTTGAATATCATTGTGTTTTGATTTGCATTTCCAGACTCACTAATGAGGTCGAACATTTTCATCATATGTTTACTGGCCATATAAGTTCTGTTTTTAAATATTCTGTTCATGTCTTCTGCTCATTTTTCAGTTGAGATGAAGTGTGTTTAGGCTGACATGTAGGAATAGTGCTGTTTCTAAAAAATAAAAATAATTTTAAATCTAAACTTAAGGTTCTACTCCCAAATGTACTGGCACAAATTATTTTATATATTAATATTATGCCTATACTAGGAAAATTTTATTCACATATAATATAGACAGTCTTAATGGGCAACGTTCCTCATCTTCAGAAAATTACAACCTGAATTCAACAATTTTTAGCCACGTCAACCAGTATCAGCCTGCTCACTCCTTCTACTTCCTGTCCAAACCACCACCATCTCTTACGCGACTTCCACAGCTGCTTCCTGACTAGCCTCTCTGCTTCCACTCTTGCCCTCCTTCTTCGATCTATACAGCAGCCCCCATCATTTTGTCACTCCTGTCAAAATCCTCCCATGACCTCCAGCTGCCCTTGTAATAAAACCAAAACTCACTCCCTTGGTGCAAGAAGCCCTATGTGATTTGATCCTTGCCTTCTCTTTCCCTTCCTGTAGTCTTGGCCTCTAGCCACACAGTCATTTTTGTTGTTCCTGAGACAGTACAGGCTTGAACCTTTTTCAGAACTTTTATTATCATTATTTTCTGTTCTCCAGTGTCTTCCCACATACCATTCTTTCCCATCATTCACTTTCCTACTCAATGCCACTTAATCAGAGGTCCTTTACCCTGACCACCAATCTCTATATATCTTCTTATCCTACTTCACTTTTCCTCATAGTACTTATTACATCTGAAAATTATGTTATATTATTTTTCATTTGTTTATTGCTGGTTTCCTCTACAGAATGTTGTGGAGGGCCAGATGTGATGTCACCCCAGAAGTGACATCACCAGATCCACCAGGGAATAATATCAACAGAAAATGATATCACCAGAAGTGAGATCACCAGAAACAGAAGTAACTGCATCAGATATGAGATCAGTCCACAAGTGACATCATTATGAGCTTGTGTATATAAGTGGTGCTCTGAAAATAAACTGTATCACTTGTCCACCATGCGTGAACAGTGAACCTCCTGATCCCAGCTTTGGTTTCCGTGTTTTTCTTGTATCTTTCTCTGTGTTTTCCTTAAGTTCCTCATCCACTCCACTCAGGTTCAGCTGGTTTGTGGAGCTGGTCTCTGCAGAATGTAAGCACCATAATGACAGAAACTTCACTTGTTTACTGCTGTATCAATTTTATCTTGAGCAGTGTCTGGCACATAGTGGACCCCCAAAAAGTATTTATTTGTTAAATAAAATGAAATAATAGATAATACAGATGAGGAAGTACCCTAAATGTCTTCAATTGTCCATATAGATGTTCGCAGATAGCATTAAATCAGCAAATGTAAATCAATATCATACAAAATGGGTTCATAAGAACTAAGATGATTCTAGATAGAATCAAAGGATGATTCTAGAAAATCAAGTGAATTGTGGAGAATACCTGGAGTTGGTAGTTCTTTTTTTAAACAAACTTACTGCAGTACATTTTATGTATTACCCATTTCAAGTGAGCAATTCAATGATTTTAAGTAACTTTACTGAGTGGTACAGCTATCATCATCAGTTTTATAACATATTCATCCCAGCAGCAGGATTCCTCCTGCCCATTTATAGTTGATTCTTCTTCCCATTTCCAGGCTCCAGTACCCATTAATCTACCTTTTGTCTATAAATTTGCCTTTTCTGGTTATTTCACATAAACACAATATGTGGTCCCATGTGTCTAGCTTCTTTCACTTAGCACAAAGTTTTTGAACTGTGTCCATTAACATACCATGACTGAACAGTATATGGCTGTACCCCGCTGTGCCTATCCATTCACCAGTTGATGGGCTTTTAGGTTGTTTCTAGATTCTGCTATTACAGATAATGCTTCCATGAACATACATGTGTGTGTCTTTGTGTGGCTATATGTTTTCATTTCTCTTGGGTAAATACTTAGGTGTAGATTTGCTGAATCACATGGTAGTTGATCCTGAACTTTTTTCAGAAACTGCTAAGTTGTTTTCTAAAGTGACTGTGCCATTTTACATTCCCACCAGCAGCATACAAAGGCTTCTGGTTTTCTACATCCTCACCAACATTTGTTATTACCTCTCTTATTTATTATAGCCCATCTAGTGGGTATGTAATGGTATCTTGTGGTTTTAGTTTTCATTTCCCTAAAGACTAATAATGTTGAGCATCTTCTCATGCACTTATGAGTCATTTGCATATCTTCTTGGACAAAGGCCTCTTTAGAGAGTTGGTAATTTTTAAACTTTTTAAAGGCAAGGAAACTGCATTTGTGGAAGTTTTCTCAATAGATAGAATTAACTTCTGCAAAGGCAGACACAGGACTGGAGTGCAAAAATTCCTTATAAAGAAAGAGTATAATCAGCATAGCTTTGTTAAAATGGAGAGTCACCAACAAAATATAGGTGGCTTGAGCATAAAAGTTAGTAAATGGTCTTGAATGCCATGTTGAGTAATAGATCCTGAGAGGAGTGGTAGAGTAAAGAGACTGGATTTTGATGCCTAAAGGAAGTATTTGAGTTCAATATATATATGCAATAGTTTTCCTTTTTGTGGGGACATATCAGGATATAGTCCTCAGTTTACCATAGAACTGTAGGAAAATAATAGAATTCAGTGACCACGTGGTTTCTCTTTCTTTTCAGGCAGAATTAAATATAACTCATTTCTGATCCATGGGTATACTTTCTCCCAGAAATCACACATATTCTTCAAGGAAAGAGATTTGCTTCAGTTCTTGGTTAACCCATCTCAAAGAAAAGCAGCCTTGACATTCAGAAAATGTCATTACTTTCTTAATTTTTCTTGAGTTTTAATTAAATTTTTATTTTTTACTCTAAAATATTTGGTTTGAGATAAAAAAGTGAACAGTTGAACAAGCTACTTTTCATCACATTTGGTACTCATGATACTGCAGATCCTTGAAAAAATTGTTTCTATTTCTTAGCCTTCTGTTATCTAGTTTGCTTTTTCTATGCAATATATGAGCTTATTCTTTCTGTACAGTGCTGATAAAGAACTCATTCCTCTCCAGATAGGCCATGGCCATGTAGTCTTGAAGTCAGCCCCATGACTGGAGGAATATTCATTGACACTGTGAAAAAGTTGCTGAAATCTTTTTGTGCCAGAACCTCTCTAAAATTCTTCTGGGTCTGAATATGGAACTGTTGAAGGCAACATTTTCCCTTAAACTATTCATTCCAAAGGCTACATCAAAATGACAAACGGAGATGATTTATATATGCCACAGGATTCAGGCTTCTGCATCAGACCTACTTAAATGTCAGTATCAAAAGTGGTCAAAAGAAGACAATTTTGAAGTGAACTTCAATAACAATCTCATAGGCATGGATGTTCTCTCTTCCCTTTCTTTGGGGATAATTCAGACACTGAGCACTTGATGTCTGTCAGAGGAGGAGGAGAAAGAGAAGAAAGTGACTGAGAAACCAACTGATCAGAGGTTACATAGCAAATCTTAAATTCTTTGCCACATTTTTTTTTCTTTAGGGATAGCAATGGTCTGGATAAAACCTTTTTTTTTTTTAAACTAGGCATACAAACAAACAAAACCAGTCTTACTGTCAAAACAAAATCACAGATCTACACAACTGTTTGCACCTGGACTCAAATTTGGATTTGTCATTTTCTTAGCCCAAAGATACTTCCATCGGCACACATGCAGTAGTTTTCTTCTTTCACTACATTTTGTTGGAATATGTTCCTGCATTCTGTTTGGTTTATCTTTCCACGGAATCCTGACAGTAAGGTGATATCTGAAATTTCAACAATGTCAACATTATTACCATATTCATTTCCCTCGATATTTTTAAAATAGCAAAAATTTTTCAAGCAACTTAATATTATTCTAAATTTGTTCTTTGTAAGTTTGTTTGGATTTACAAGTTTCTGCTCTCTATAGATGAGGAATTGTCCTTAATTAGTATCCCCTAAGTGTGTACAATATGCATGGCAGGTATGGTCCTGGACTCTTCAAGTTTCCAATTTTCCAAAGGTCCTGTGTAAAGATGAAGAGCCAAGTCCTAAATTGATCATGAAGTAAAACCCCATTACACCATGAGGAAAACATCATGAACTATAGCAACATATTGATACCATATGTGATACAGGTGCTTCTGTCCAGCAAGTGAAGGAGAAAAAATTGAGCAAAGATGAAATAACCCACTTCCCATCAATTCCTAACCACAAATCTCCTTTTCAGTAAATTTTGTTCCATTTTTTTTGGCTATTCTTATTTCTTAATGAGAAAGGGAGCCAATCCTTGTATTGAATAGAGGTGGGCTTTCAATAATTCAATGTGGTTTTTTGGTCAATGCCTTATTGATCCTCTCCTGCAAGGTTGAATGTCATCAGTGTCATGGAAAGTCATTTAGGGAAATACTTTGCCCTCACACATTCAGGATTTTTCTACATAAATGTCATTTCCTAGTGTTTGTTTCCCTTGTGTTCAGGAAGTTCTTCAGGCGTCTTTAGATTTACAGAACCATTTCATGGGTGGGGTAATAGGGGAAACTAGCAATTTGGGTCAAAGTCCTAGTGACTCTGTTGATGATACTGTGTTTAGCACTACTTGAAATAAAATGCATTTCATTGGGAACAGCCCAAGTCATGGCTTCACAGTGAAAAGCAGAGATGACTCTGGAAAGAGAAGGAGTGTTGTTAGAAGGGATGCTGACAGGGAATAAGTGTCTTAAGGGTAAGCTGGAGGCAGATGAGAATAAACTGCTAAGTAAAAATCATAAACATCTTGGGTAAGCTTTCTAAGTTGGAAATAGAAAACCAGAGAGTTTTTTTTTTCTTAGCAGATTTCAGACATCCTTTCATCCATTAATGTCGACTTTTTCCTTTTCCATTGTAAACTACATGGAAAAGTGTGAACATATAGAGGTGTCAGATTATAATGGTAAAAGCTACACACAAAAAGTGTGGTCTCTGGACCAGCAGTATCAGAACCACTTGGGAACTTCTCAGCCCTATCCCAGACTTTCGAGTCAGCAATTTTGGGGGTAGGACCACTAACTTGTGCTTTGACAAAAACTCTCCAGGTGAACCTATCATGCATCAATGTTTGAGAACCAGTGGTATAGTGATTAAGTGTATGACATCTGGAGCCAGATGGCTGTATTACTTAGAGCAATTCAATTTTTGTTTCCCTTCTGTAAAATGGTAACAGCACCAAACTCACTGTGTGGTAAATGAAGATGAAATGAGCTAATGTCTGTAAAATCCTCAGAACAATGCCTGGCCACCGTTAAGTGTCACATAAATGTTCAGGTGATGATGATGATGAAAATCATCATCATCACCTTCATAGGTGTTATTTTCATTTTTTTCCACAGGCTTTGTTTCACAATTTATAAGAAGGCTTTGTGTTTTCCAAGAGATCTTCTCTCTTAATATCTTAGAGTTATGTTCCATGGCTCAAGGCAGTATTTCTCAGCATGTGCTACATGGACCATTTGCATCAAAATCACCTGTGCTGCTTATTAAAATGCAGATTCTCAAGTTCTGCCTAGACCCACAGGCACCATCAGAATTCTCTAGTGATACTTATGCATCCAGAAATTTCAAAACTACTGCTCTTGAATAACAAAGACTATGATTTTCATTTTGCAAATGGGCACATGAAGCACAGGGATAACGTATGCTTAGAGAAATCCAGAATCTCAGTGAGATCTAGAGTAAGAAGTGGGTGTCTGGGGTGTCTGACTTTGTGTTCTTATTGAAAGACTATGCTATCTCTTTGTAGTTTTATTTGCTTTATCAGGAACTTGACTGGGATTGTGCCTCTTTGTTTACTGAGAACTAGCATTATTTAATCTAAAAATAACATTTACCTTGAAAAATCTAGAACTATCAGGAATGATGAGTTTCTGGAAAATATACTTGGACAATTATGCATCACTTGGCTGCAATTGTCCCTGTTTGGGTGTATTTAATACATCAGTCTTATGTTACAGATGAAGCAAAAGGACTCAGAAAGGTTGAGGAA